ATATATGTATATATTACACTGGCTTGTGAGCAAGCATGGTGCCAATGCACAACAATGTTGATGAAGTTATGGAGGGGTACAGAAAGATTAGACGGAAACAGGGAAAGCAGAAAACACCGTGTACGAATGTATAATTGAAGGGTTTTTTTGTAGTTTCACCGTATAATTTTTGAAGAATTCTTTTGTGTTATGGGGAACGGGGTTTCACCAAGCAAACCGCACAGCAATCGCGCCACTGACGTCTATTCTGAGCCATATCTCCCAGCGTCTCTAGCTATCCGTAATCCTCATCCCTTGGGCCCCAGCCTGGAAGATGAGCTGCACCAATCGACGCCAATGCTGAGGTTAACTTCTTCATACCTCTGCGCCGCGTCATGGTCTGATCGCCGCGACGCTTTTTCCAACCTTGCCCGGCACGTGCAAAAAGAACACTACGAGTTAGTCGATGGGCGGGCATACGCAAAACATAACCCAGCCATCGGAGGCGGTGTAGAACGATTTCTTCCGTTAGAGAACGACTATCAGTACCCAGCACACGACGACGGACCTCGTCATTGCTCACCCGGTGTTCCCACCAGACACGAGGAATGCTTCTAAGGCATCGGTGGTCGAATACGGAAAGTCAATTAACATCCTCCGCTCGGAGAGGCCAGCAGCCGTAAAGCAGAACACGACGGACCGCGGCGATGTATACCCTTGCCTAAACGACAGTTGGATGTTGTGGCGACGCCACAGGTGTCGCAGGTTAGCTTTCGTGATGTGATCTCTTCCCCAACCCCAGCTGTGAATAATCTTCCGAGGTACTTTAAGCTCTCGACCATTTCCAGCTGATCACCACAAAGAGTGAGTGCACGCACAGGCTCCTGCCAGTCTTGAACCAGCACTGCACTTTGAGGGTGCAAAGTACATACGATACCGAGATACCTCTGTCGCCAAGTGGTTTAAAGCTTGTTAGACTGCCTGTGCATTGTCACCCAGCAAGGCGATGTAATCGGCATATTTTATTCAAGAGCTCTGTTTCCTGGGAGGAGTTCGACTCCCCCGTCTGCTAGACCGGACAAAGCGTCCTGCAGAACATCCTCTATGGCGAAGTTGAAAAGGAATGGGGATATTGGGCATCCTTGTCTAACTCCACTGGAGACGGCGAAGGATGGTGAAAGCTGGCCATAAACCCTAACCCGACCTGAGGTATGACGATACAACTCTTTGAGGATCGACACATACTTCTCAGGTACTCCATTCCTCAGCAAACAGTTCCATAGTGCGGTNCGGTGCTCTAGCAGCTGTCGGAGGGTGAAGATTTGATCGATGCATCCACAACCATCGGTTACGATCATCTCGAGGTTCCCAGCCAGGAAGCCTGACAGAACCTATGTGACCCAGTCTCCTGGTCAGGGTTTTCATACCCTCAGGCCAGGTCTTAGCTTGACCACCCTTGGCGTTTTTCCACTCGGTGTCTGCTTCGGCAAACGTCGCTCGCCGTGGTAACCTATCTGGTGACATGCGTAACACATGTCCCAACCAACGTAATCGCGGACTACTTGCTCCAGTGGGCTACCGCGGATACCCAAAACTCTGCGTCTCACCTCAGCATTGCTCATCCGGCTACCCCACCAGATTCGTGCAATGCTGTGTGGACAGCGGTGTTCGAGCACCGACAGTGTATCTTTATCCTGTTTTCTTAATGGCCAAGTTTCTGCACCGTATAGCAGAACTGGCCGAACTGTCGCGGCCTGGACAGCTTGGTGCAAACTAACGCGTGATCTGATTCGAGGGCAGCGCTCCAGTGCGATCGGCAATCTTGGATGTAACCCCGCCATTTGTAGCTTATAGCGATGTGGTTTATCTGGGTTAGTCGCTGACTCGAGGAGGGTGTACGCCAAGTGGCGTAACGGCAGTTGGAGCGTCTGAATTTCTTACTGGCGAGGAGTAGGCGGTGGTCAGCACATAGAACCAGCGGCCGTTTTCCGTGCGACAGGGATCTATTCCGCAAGGACCTCCCAGGTGCGCGTCACTTGAAGTCAACCGGCCTACTCTAGCATTCATATCCCTTGCCAAAATCACGACATCGGCCTGATTCGCCTTACGCAAGAGGTCGTGTAGCTCTTGTTAGAAAGTATCTTTGACTGTATCCGGGCTACAATTCGTAGGCGACAAACAAGTTGCGTCTTTCGGAGCGACGACTATTTACTTTGCACGAGCCTCTAAGTCTCACTACGCATAACCTACCGTCGACTGAGATCCAATCCAGGAGCGCGGTTTCAGCTCTCATTGAGAGCCACGCCAACGTCAGCAAGACCAGAAGCCGCAACCTCAGGGTCTCCAGAAAGACGCAGGAGAAACTTCGCGGATGGGTTTGACGGGGACGTCAATCAGATGGCGGAGCTAGAGTCTTGAATGCGAGTCTCTTGGATACAACACAAATCGATGGGTTGGGTCTCGAGGGTACTAGCTAAACACGCCTATTTTCCTTTACGCATCTAGGTACGCTCGTTAAATGCGGCTATTTTGAATGGGCATCGAGAATGGAGAAGAGCTTCAACTGGTGGAGGAAGATTCGGTGAGAGTTGAACCCTATTCGAGGAAGGACGCAAGAGAAAAATGATGGAGTTTCTATCGGAGGCACAATTGGTAGTACGATTGTCTGAAGATAATAATAGGAATGTTCGAGGGGGATGACTGTGAGGTGCAAGAAAAGCTGGGAAAAAGGAAGATGCGCACGGTGTCATAAAATACATGTGGTGGTTTGTGTGGAGAACCCTTGCCAAATGGTAAACCCACCACATCCTCAAGCACTGCCGCTGATCGTCCGCGACCGCTTATTTAGTGAGAATGAAACCATGTTACTCGCTGTTAACCGACAGTTATCGGCTGTTCCCCTATCCGCGATCTGGGCCGCGCTCGGTGGCATACAGCTCTGCTCTTGCTCTTGTTATAATAAATAATTTCAATGCGTTCGAACAGAAAAGTGGATGATTCACGTGTTTGGCAATGAGCCCAAGAGAACTCAAAATTTGTGCGCAGTTTGGATCACATAACCAAAATCGTTACGTCATGGTCGTGTGGACAGGCGATTTTTTCTTCCTTTGGCCGGATGGAGTTTGAGAGCTTGAATCAATTTGCGTTGTGCGCTCAGGCTCCATGAGTCGGATGCTAATCGCCTCTGCGGTTGCTAACGTCCGAAACCTCAATGCTCTTGAAGGGTGTGGTGAGACTCGATAGATGATTGTAAATGCCGAGTGCATGCCGACCTAGTGTCCCGTCTCGACCATGTGAGCAACGATCGAGCCTGACACAGCTCCACTCCCACCCTGTGTGATCCAGCGTGGATTGTGTTCTTTGATCCGTTGAGATAACTGCATTGTCGTTCGACCTACATAAGTCGCACCACAGGTGCACTTGAATTGGTAGACAATCATAGATGAGGTCAACATAAGCAGCTTATATATATAATAACATGTTGCCACCTCAACAGTTTCATGGCTTCAGAATCTAAACCAGTATGTAGAGGGGGGCGGTGACATTATCTGATTTATCTATATGTGGTAAACATTAATAATCACTACGTGGTCCACCGAGTTCTCTTTTTCCATATTTTCGTCCTCGTCACATCCTCTACGTTTGTTGTGCTGGTTCATACTGGTAACATCTTAGAAGGAATGGTGTCCAGGAATGCTTACTTTTTGATTTTACAGAATTGGAGTTGTGCCTAACCGACGGTCCTGTTGATGTTTTCATCAGGTTCTCCTGTTACTGTTTTCCTTTTTGTTTTGACAACACTGGGTCGAATGTGTATGTTTCTGTTGTTTCATTTATTCCACACAGATCATATGGGGATTTTTTTCTTTTTTAACTGTAATGAGTTATATGAATGATGTGTGAATGTTGCTAACCCTTAAATCATTACACTTTAGTGATCCGTGTTTGAGATACTGTGCCTTTCATTTTCTCGCGAATAATACACTTTCAGCCCTAAGGATAGTTACTTTTGTAACCATATATCTGTAGTGTACTGAAAATTACTGATTACCTCAGTAGTAGCTGAATTATGCAGTCAATACTCAGGAGGGGTCGATAGGTATTTGGTTGATGACACTGGAGGAATTGTCAACTGATTGATCAACTTTTGCTCTCGTCACTGCACCTGTTCCGTCGTGCTGCGGTCAACTAGAAGAATGTTCTTTAATCCTTTAAGATCGTAGTGGTGCCATGCTATGGATATATTTTGCGCTGCAAAAGTGCTCGGATTGCATTTTAGGCTCCTTTTACTCAACGGCCTAATAACTTGTCGACGAGTTCCGAAAGTTTGTTTCCTTCGAATGATAGGTTGATCTAGATTTTGGTTCTGGCCTCCAATCACATTCAGTTTCCTCATCCTATCTTAGATTGGTAAAAACGCATTTTAGACTTCGTGTTGATTCCATCGCCACAGGAAACAGATTGGTTGCTCTTATACGCAATTCAATAATGGCATTGATTTAATGAAAGAATGCCGATCGAGAATAACTGCAACAGCGTTTTGATCACATACCAATTTGTCGTTTATTTACATTAGTCTAATTCCTGTTAGGCTTACGACAAAGTTCGAGCTTGTACGCAATGAAATATGTGGGTTAATCCCCAGAAACACCAGCAAGCAGAATACTCTTGTTCCATGACGGGTATAACTTGTCCCACTGTACAATGCTTTCTTTTGTAGTACACAGCTCTAGAGGGGAGTTCGCAGAACAAAGCTGGTTCTTACAACTTGGACTCTTCGAAACGCTTCAATTTGACGAACCAATCAGGAAAACATGAGAATGAGATCACAGCTACAGCTGCATCGCTGAAAAGTCTCCTTGGAGAAATTCGTATGGCTAACCAAGTAAGAAATTTTGCTTCACTGGTTCCGTTTTGACTCTAATGTATCCACTATGCTTCGCCTATACTTTTGAACTGTGCGTTTTCTCTTCATATTCACCTCATGTCAAGTCCGTGCCTTGAAGCACCCGATGCAAAGCTGTCCTTTGCAGAACCATAATAACTGTGAGTTGTTCCAATCACCACATGTTCCACTCACTGAACTATAAGGATTGCACTTATTTAATCAGACTGTGAAAAGATGAGACGAGGATGATGTCACAAAGATGAGGTCCTGTGTGACAAGTCAAGTGACAAATGGACAAGCTGTATGACAGGTTGCCTTCGACATTGTGGATAGATTTCAACGGTCAATCTTGGAATTCAACGGAAATATTATTGATTTTATCAATGTTCCATGAATCAAACCCGTGGACTGGTGGACGTTTACAGTGTATGCCCACCCCACCCCCGTATTGCCACTCAAGACCATATTCGCTCCCTTGCGAATTTTTTTTAAATATGAAAAAATTTTCTTCCACGAATAACAATTCTTGGCTCCTATGTGAAAGATCGATTTACGTCGTTTTTGGTTCAATTTGTGACCTTGACGCCATGACGGCCCGTTTCTACCTGCACAAAAGTTTGGATCAGATAGAAAGTTTCGCATTTCTTGAATATTCCCAGGATCAAGAACTACAACCAAAGGAAGAATTGTGTGTATGTGGACACCTAATGCGTGTGCAAGAGTACAACCGGAGCACGGATGACGTTGCAGGTGCAAGAGAAATACCTCTGTTGACTTCACAGGCTACAACGATCCACGTAGAGTGATGCGCAAAAATCCCGGAAGACGGTGTCTTTCAACAAATAGGTTTCTTCTACAAATGCGGTACTGAAA